CTTGGACTTCCTTGCTGCCTGTTTCCACCACAGTGTCTGCCCGTGAGGTGCCTGGCATCCCTCAGCAGTGAGGAAGCCACAGTGCTGACCTGTCAAGTCCCTGCCCTCTGACCTCGAATGAAGCTTTATTTGAGAAGTGTAAAGCGGATTCAAACTGAGAGCAGACAATTTTTCAAAATCATTTCTCACCTAAGCTCCTAAGAAGACATTTGACATACATGAAATAAATAAGGACAGAGCTGTGCCAATTTAAAATTAGAAAATCCAGAAATAATTTGTTTAAAAAAAGCTTCAGCTTTTTAAGCACTTAACCCAAAAAGCATTACAAAACTTTTAAAATGGAAATTATTTTACATTTAAAACATTCTCCACCCAGAAAAGTAGGGGAAAATGTGCGCAGATTTTGCAAAATCTGCAACTTTGACTTAGAAAAAAATCCAGAGAAAATGGGATTGAAAACTTCAAGATGAATTAGAATCATTTCCGTGCAAAACTTAAGTGTCAGCCCCCTCAAAAAAGATTCAAACCAATCCTACATAAAAGTGGAAAGTCTTAATTTCACAAGCTCCTGAACGCCACCTTCCATGTATGAAAGACACATAGCGAGACTCTCCATTCTCTAGCTGTGCAAACTGTAGGCGTGAAAGTACAATCTTCTCACAGCTTTAAATACCATCAACACCCTCATGGCTCCCAGGCCAGCGCGGCTTCTCTGAATTTAAGCTCTGAGACTCAACTGCCTGTTCGACAAAGCCCAAGTGCCAGGCAGACATCTCAAACGTGACACGCCCTAAAAGAAGTTTCCGATTTGCATCACCCGCTACCAAAACTCCTGCTCCTCTATCTCACTAAAAGGCAACGCCACCCTTCCAGTTATTAGTCCAGACACCTTGGACTCACCCTTGACTTTCTCACACGGCACAGCTCCCCTCCAGGTCTATTCAGAATCTGACCCCTTCACTCTCCCCGCCCCAACACCCACCCCCCATCACGGGCCAAGCCTCCTCATCCTTCTTCAGACAGTGCAATAACCCCTGAGTGCAGTCCCCTCAGCAGCAGAGAGTTTATTAAAGCATGAATGACGTCCTGTTACTCCTCTCTCAGCACGCCCCAAAGCCTTCCCAAACCACATGCGTCCAAGTCAAAATCCTTGATATGGACAACAAGGCCACATTCTCCAGCCCTTCTCTCCCCACCCCATCCTGTCTCCCATAGCTCTCCCGGCGCTCTCTGCTCCAGCCACTCTGGGCTTTTTCTTCTCCAACCATCTAAGCGTGGTCTGCCTCGGGGCCTGTGCACCCTGAACCTCTCTGCCTGAAAGGCTTTTACCCCATTGTTTTCATGGCTTGTTCCCTCCATCTCCTGCCTTCAGATCTTTACTCAAATGCTCCCTCCTCAGTCGGGTTTCTCTGCGCCAGACCTAACATCACACCCCGCGACAGAACATGGCTTTTCCCCTCTTTTGTGTTACTTTTCTCCCCAGCACTCATCACCAACTCCTGTACTCTGTATCTCACGCCTTTGGCTTGTGGTCTGTCTCCTCCCACTAGTAGGGAAGTTCAAACAGAGCAAGGAGATGTTTTCTGTTCACGAATGTGCCACCAGTGACTAAAATACTACCTGGCGCATAGCATGAGCTCAATAAATACTGACTGAAAAAGGAAATGCTAAGGAAAAAAGTTTACTCGAAATACTTTCAATTGTTTTATCAACTCTCCTATCAGAATTTTCTTTAGTCAAGACACTGAAATGGGCCATGAAATAATGTCTTGTTTTCCTCACTTCCCCGTCCCTACCACAAGCTCTTTGACCCTGAAGTTCTGGTAAAAAGTGACCATCTGCCCTCTGCCTTCAGACTCTCGCCAACCTGCCGGTGAGAGTAGTGTCTGCCTGCTCCAACACTACATTCATGACAAAGTTTCTTAATCTAATCTATATGGATATTAACCAACTCTAGAAAGATCTGCCCATGAAAAGGTCAAGAACAATTTGTAACACAAAGTAAGACCTTATTCCCCTAGAAAAAGAATAGACAAGGTGCCAAAAAATTGATTTGACTTAACAGTAAAATATGACATAAGAAATGTGTTCAAAAACAGGTGCCCCACAGAAGTGACTATTTGGTTGGACGGCATCAATTGGGTTTTTATATCCTCATATTTAACACAAATTTGTTGTAAAAAGAAATCTGGAACATCACAAATGCAAAATGAAACATCCAAGTTTTCTTCCATTCCACCTAAACCCCAAGACCCTAGAGACAACAACTACTCTAAGTCTTGCCACATTTGAGTTCATGCACACTCAAGTACATAAATAAGCTTTGTGTTACAAAATGAGGCCATACTCTGCAGACTGGTCTCCAAATTTTTTTTCTTTAAAAACTGCATGGACCCCTTTCACTGTCAGCACTTGGCCACCCGCCTGCCATCAACACCCCCTGCGTTCTCCACAAGACGCTCCAGCATCAGGACCTCTTCACACTCCTGAAAATTAATAAGGGCGCCAAAAGGCTTTCCTCGTCAACATTTACCATGTAAGAGGTTTAAACTGAAATGTTTAAACTACGTATTTATTTGGCTGTTTAAAGGTATTTTTATTATTACTGAAAAATAAGTGCTCTCCTCCCCAATGTGGCCTTTTTAGGTAACTGTGGCTATTCTTTTGTGAAACTGCACCAAAACCCAGTGAGGTGCAGTTTCTTAAAGGTTAATTGCAATGTAGGATTTAAAACTTTATCAATGAACTTCTGTATTCTGCTATATAAAAATCCACTAGCCATCTTGTACCTTCGTGGATCTTTTATCTGTGCATTATTTTATAATATATGGGGATCATTTAGAACCTATCAGTTTGCTGAATTATGTAAATCATCCAAATAATACATTTCATCACAAGATTCCAAAATATCTCATATATGTAAACATTACCATGAATTGCTACATCGTAATAGCAGACAGAGGCTTTCCGAAATTGTGATTTTCACTGGAAAGCTGAAATTTTGTCAGTGGCAACAGATACTACCAGTTGTTTTCCTGAAAAGGTTTCTTTATACATTTCTTTAGGCTGAATAACCATACTGTGTCTGTCACAGTTGCAAGTAAAACTGGCAGTCCATGAAAAAAAAAGCAGCTAGTTCAGCTTGCAACTAAAACAACTGCCCGTGTAGCCTTCCTAGAGATAACTGCTGTCCTCCAGTACACATCAGATATGCTGGATGTATACTTCCCATTCCATCTCACAGAACACACAGATAAAAACACAAGGATCAAGGGCCTCCCTGGTGGCGCAAGGGGTTGAATCTCAGCACTATGAGGCTGTCCGCAACCACCGCGGCGCGAGTTCCATCCCTGGCCAGGGAGCCGCCCACATGGCGCAGCAGACCTCTCCTGTCTCCCCGCCGCTCCCCTCAGCAGTGCATTTCAGCAGATCCGCCTGTTCTGCTCCCCACTCTCTCTGGTGAATCCGCTCACCTCCCCTCCCCCATTCTTGTATGCATAAATAAATAAAAATAAATCTTTTTAAAAAACCACAAGGATCAAGAGTTAATAAAGTCAACAATTTTGGCTGCTTCACCAAGGACATCCTTAGTGAAAGTAGATTTCGCCCCACAGAGTGCACGGCGGGCAGACTGCAGCGGCTGCTAGCACAGAGAGCTGCCCCAGCCCTACCGCGCTAAGGGGCCTTCATTACTTCAGCACCGTCAGAACTGCACCAGTTCTAAAGCAGTTTTAACCTCCTGACCCACGAGGGGCATGGGAAGCACCTAGAGGACTCTGCTATTCTACACCAGGAGTTTCCCAGAGGTGGGATCACTGGAAAAATTACATTCTGATGTTCACCGAAAGCGCTCCAAAAAGTCTATCAATTGCACTAAAGCTGAAGGGTCATCACTAGTTAAAAATGCAAAAAATTCATAAATCCTGTCTTCAGGAAGCGCCACAACACATGACCACATTTACCTATCTAAAAGCCGTGCTAAAATATATGGAGTATTTCAAAATCAAATAATTTTGGACAGGGTGGATCTTTTTCTGTGAGAAAGCAAAGCCTCGTCTATCAAGTACAAGTTCTCGGAACAGAGACCTCTGTGTACTGCAGACACGGGTTGTCAACAGGCGGAGTGGCTGAATTTCAAAGTATCTGCCACTTCCACAATTCCGTTTGCTTATGGGGCGGGTGAGCTCAACTGGTATCTTCTGTTGCTACGGAGTACAGAGTCCGAAGCATGGCTGCTGCCACAGTGCAAACAGGACCCCAAGAATTGGTTTGGGGCTGACCCTCTGCCTTAAAATCTCACACAGAATGACTGGGAATGAACAGTCATCAAAACGTTCAAGACAACCTTTCTTGCCCCAAGTGTCATCCTAACCAGGGAATCCCAGCCCCATGGAAGTCCATCCCTGAGCACTGTGCGTGAGTGGCGAACTGGGCAGCAGGTCCCCTTGAAGAGGAGGAATGATGCTCCATCCTTCCATCCCATCCATCCAAAGAGCATTTTTGAGTCCAACTCGTGAAAAAGCCAAGGGTACTCCTGTCACCTAGACACTGTGGGTCTTAACCTTTTTGTTTGGGGGGGGAGGGCAAACTGCTTTGAGGAGATGATTACAGGCGCTTGGTAGATGAAGCAGGGAAGGATCCCTGTTCTCAGAGGACGAGCCTGGGCTTCGGGCCAGAGCCGAATCCTCAAATTGAGAAGCCTCTGATAAGTCCAACCTCCTAGGGAAACTGGAACTGTAAATTGCCTTGTCCAAGGTCCACCGTGAATAAGTTAGAAAGGGAATCGGGCCAGAAATAAGTAAGTAACTCCGAGAGGTTCTGAATAAAGCCACAGAGTCACTAAGTAGCTTTTTCTTATACACAGAAGAGAGATAACCACGGCCAGCAAGTTTCCGGGCAAACTGGCAAGAACCCCACAAACCTGCAGTTCCAAAGCTCCCCAGGCGCTCCCCGGCTGACCGCGGAAGGAAAGACAGAAGTAGCAAGCTCGAAAGACTCACCGTGCTCCACAAAAACATTGCAGTGCGGCCCCCCATGCCTCGACGACTCCTTCTTCCCTGCTCCTTTGATGAAGTGCAGGGCGGGCAGACTTGGCCTCCTCTGGTCCCCAAGAACTTTTCCAGGCTGCTGCCCCATAAAGTACGGATAGGCGCCCCTTTCCAGAAGAGGGTTCAAGCTATTCCAGAAGGTCAGTGAGTGCAGAGGGGAGACAGTACATACGTGAGGTTTTCACATTCACCGCGTCCCTGCTGGGCAGTGACAGGTCCATCACCAAGAGGACATCTTCTAGCACAGCAGGGAGCAGCACACTTGAGGGGCGTGTAAACAGGAGTTCTGATTATTTTTGCAGTTGATCAACTCCAAGTAATGGCATTGCAATGCTACCCCAAAGCTGCTTGCTTTTGAGTCTGTTACTGGCTGCAGCCGTTTCTTTTCGAGAAGAAAACCTAAACAGAAATATTCACAGGGGATGCGGTAAGAGGGTCAGTCACACGCCAGCATTTGCTTCCCACACATAAAGGAAATGTAGATCGTCTTTGGAAACTGCTCCAGAACTCTTCCTGTGGAAGTCACCCACCCCCTAGCTCAGCTTCTTCATCTTCCGACACATTTCCTGCCCCACTGGCCCTGCTCCTCTACCCTGCCCTCCGGAAAAGGCCACGGGTCACCCCGACTTCGGCGAGCGCGCCCTCCACGCAGACGAGCAGGAATGCACCGCCAGCAACTTTTAAGTCCGCTTTTTAAAAGGCCTGTGAAACCAGTCCAGGCTTTTCCTTTGCATTAAAGTTTGTGGCTGGGCTGAGAGAAACGGGGCCGGGGGTGACATGGAGAAGTCAGGGCATGAGAGGCTCGCGGGCGCAACCTGGGTCAGGGGAGGTCGCTTGACAGCGGGGAGGGGATTGAATGGGGGGACTCCGAGGCCAAACTCGGGGCCGGGTCGGAGCGAGGGGCGGCCGGGGAAGAGGGCGGCTGCCGGGGCGGGGGCGGGGGGGGCGGGCGGCTTACTCGGGGCGACGCTCCTTCACGCCTCAGGAAACGGGGCGTCCCAGGTCTGGAGGAAACCGCGACCACCCCCGGGGTCCCAGAGTCGGGGCGGGGCTGTCAGGGACGCAGGGCTCCCGCGGCCCCGACGGCGGGGGGCGGGCGGAGGGGGGCGGAGGCCCGGCCGCCTCAGCCGCCCCCGGCCCGGGGGTCTCTGCCCGAGACGCCCCCTCCCCCGGCCCCGACGAGGTCGCCGCCGCCGCCGAGCAGTCACATGCCCCGAGCTCCGCCGCGGAGCCCAGCCTCCCCGCTCGGGCAGGGGCCGTGGACCACGGAGGGGCCGCTCAGCCGCGGGGCCCGCTCCGGCTCCGGCGTCGCTCAGGGACAGGCACCGACCCCCGCGGCCGCCATGATGGTTACGAGCCGCTCCACAACGAGGCCAGGCCCCGCCCCCGGCCCCGCCCCCGGCGACGTCCGGCGCGCCCCTCGCGGGGACCCGAACCCTCTTGGCGGCGCTTTCGGGGGGCGCCGAGGCGTCTTCCGACTCCGGCCTCCCAGGCCGCCGGCGCCCGGCCCCGCGCGACCTTTTAAGTGTGATTTTTTCCCCTTCGCAAGGTGAGCGGTCAGGAAGCACCCGCCTCCTCTGCACGGCTATTGGTCCTCGAGAACCGGGTCAGGTCGCCCTCTTCCATCCCATTGGCCGGCGAGGGGCGGTCGGACTAGAGCTGCCAGCCAATCGCTCTCGGCGCAGCCCGCGGGGCCTGCCGGGACTTGTAGTCCCGCGGCACCCGCCCCGCCCGCGCTCTGTTCCCGGCTCCGGAGGCTCGGGCCCGCCCTCCCGGGGCCGGTGGACTCTCGCCGCCCGGCCCAGGGCTGGCCCACGTCTCCCCGGAGCGGTAGCAAGACCGGCGAGGAGCCAAAGCAAGCGGAAAACTGCGGATTGGATTTTCCCAGAGCCGGACTTGGATTGCGTCCTCGAGCCTAAAGGGGAGGCAATCGGCCTGGCCGCTGGAAATCGAGCTCCTTTGCGCCCGCCCCCGCCCAGCAATATCCCCACCCCACCCCGTACCCCCAGAAACTAACTGCCGAAAACACAGACGACTGGAAAGTATCGACACGGCTAAGGAATTCACTTTCCTCGGGACATCAAGGGGCTGGCTCATTAAGGAAACCGCACTTGCCTCAGAGGAGCTGGAATAAAGGCCCCGCTTCACAGGTGGACACGGAGTCACGTTAAGGAAAACTCCGAGAAAAGGCCCAGGTTGTTGGGTTACCGGTCGTGACCCAGACACACGGCAGAGACGGGACCTGAAGGCCACTGGTCTGTGCGGGAGTCACAATTTGGGCCCAGACTGAGCTTGCTTCGAAGCCCATAGCCTCCCCACTGTGCTGTTCAGAATCAAGAAAACGCTGATCTGTGGGGCGGACGACGCATTTTCTGCAATTGCTATTATTGCTATTAGGGTCAAACTACAGCAGCAACGCCAAGTGTCAGACATTGTTACTTTATTATGTATTTTAGAAATAATCCCGCTGGGTTGAGAAATGGTGCTGAGCTTAGTTACTGGCCTCATAAGTCGTCGCTGGGAGGTACTGGACACAGAGTGGATGAAAGCCTGTGCCCAAATTTAGCACTGGGACTTATAAATTCAGATGGTAATTGGTTTAGCTGTGCTCTCCCAGTCTGGCTGACACTGTTCTTACACCACTCAGACCTCAATGCCTTCTTCCTCTACCCATTCTCTCATCCTGATTACCATTCTAATTTGCCTTTTCAGGGATTTTCTACCTTTCTGTTGCCACTCATGCTTTAATCATTTCCTGTACAGCTTCATTCCTCATTCACCAGTGTAACTTAAAATCAATTAAATCATAACTAACATTCTTGAAGTACGAATTCATTCCACAAGTGTTTATTGAGCCCATGTGCCAAGCACTGTCCTAGATGCCAGGATGGGGGGTGTAGTGAGGGCAGCCTCACCCTGAAGGAGCACAAGGGAGGGGAGCTAAGCAACACCTGTAACAATACAAAGTATAACATTTCTGGACAGTTTTCACCAATCAGTCCAGCTCAGGCCCTACAGGGCCCCTTTAGGGTACCTCTCCACCCTTAAGCCCATTTCTGATTTACAGTTGTCAACAGGCTTTGTGTCACTTTCTCTGAATCGGCCTCCTCACTTGTTAAGTGGGGGGTCAGATCTGCAAGCTCTCCAGGTTGAGAGCATCAGGTAAGATTTTGTTTGCTTACCACAAAAATTGAGACACCTGTGAAAGTCAAGCAGCGAGCTACTGGCACGCTCTGAAGGCCTCATCTCCAGTTACCTCTTACCATTTTCTACTTTTAGGTGCACCCCAAGCCTATACTATAACGCATAGTCTCTGTACATTTCTACTTCCTATATAACAAGAAACTGCAGGAAGCACAGACGATTGGAAAGTATCTGACATGGCTAAGGAATTCACTTTCAAATACTTTTGGGGGCTTAAAACTAGAATCCAGAGTCCAGCAAATGCTTGAGTCAGAAGACTGCCAAATATTTAATAAATTATAAGCTCATATATTTTCATTTTATATATGAGTGATGCAGTGCAGTCTAATTTTGTCCTCATTTTCACCAAGCAAAGCAGCCCATGTTGCTGCAGGGATTTCAGTAGTTGTAAAACTTTGAGTTTGTTTTTTTTTAAATACACCTACTGGAATTACACTGAACAACAGCACCCCCTACTGGGCCACAGAAAGTATTGCTAGCCAGTAACCAAAGGTGCCTTCAGAGCTGCACCTTCAGGATTCATTGAACAGCACAGGCTGGAAGCTTAGGAGACATAAATGCCCAAGGAGCTGACATACAGCCCTGGTGAAAACCAAAACAAACCCAGGACTCAGCTCCAGTCTTTCAAATTCCCTCCCTCAAGAGGGAGAGAGAGTACCCAGAATGCATTCTCAAAAATAATTAGTGAGCGAACCTGTAGTTGCAACATGCCTGTGGAAGATCCAGTTACCTGCAAACTCCTCAAAACAAGTGGCACACCTGGGAGAAAATAAACATGAGCTAAAAAGCTGTGTGTTGAGGGCCTCCCCGGTGGCGCAGCGGTTGAGCACTGGGTTGCGAAGCTGCCCGCAGCCTCTGTGGCACCGGTTCGATCCCCGGCTGCTCCCCGGCCACTGGAGGAGGGTCCCACCTGGCGCGCAGACCTCTCCTGCCGCCCGCTGCTCCCCTCAGCAGTGTACTTCGGTCCTTCTGCCTGCTCTGCTCCCCGCTCTGGCTCTGGTGAATTCTCTCACCCTCCCGCGCTTCTGACTGTACCCAGTGCATGTATAAACAAAACAAACAAACAAATAAATAAATAAATAAAGCATGCCTCTATAAAAAAAAAAAAAAAAAAAAAAAAAAAAGCTGTGTGTTGAGAGATGTTATAAAGAAACACACTGAGCTGTATTTCAGAACCACAGATGCAGTTCCATCTCGCTGCCTTAAGCCTACATTTACATTCTGCTGGGGGACTCAGGGCACAAGTGTGCCACAGGACGTAATAGGAAGTGGCATCAGTGGCACACTTACAGGCAGAAAAGAGCACCACATGTGAAATAAAAGTGCCTCTAAAAACCGTTTCCCAAAACTAAATCAGAGCCGTTTTCAGATACCTGCCTGAAGACAGTGCATGGAAAGCTAGCATTCCTCAGTGAGAACTTCAATATCTTCTTTTTATTATTTAACCCTGGATTGTTCAAAAGTTAATTAATGTGTTGCTACTTTAAGTACAGGTGGAAAATAGCTTTTCATTTTTTCTTTCTCATGTTAATCACAGCACCACAAACCATCCCCCAGTGGGTGATTCAACTTCTTACAAATCACCCTGAAAAGCAAGTCCGGCTACGGCACCTGGTGTGGACACGCACACGCCTGGCTGCAAGGAGCCTTGAAGTAAGTGCCCACCCAAGAAAGGCTGCCTGAGCAACTTCACTCTTCCATTTGGCTGCTGGAGCTCCTTTACCCATCATTTTCTTCAAGGTCAGACTTGCGCTGGAGAGGTGGAAATGGAGGCCGAAGCAGACGACTGGGGGTCTGGGAGGCCATGGATTTTATAGGGGCAATTTCACGGGCATGTGTTGTGAATTGGTAAGTAGAAAACAAAAGACCCTCCGTGATTCCAGGATGGGAATCCACTCAGGAACGCTTCGTGTAAGCCCCACACCAACTGAATGCAGGGAATTCTGCAGACAGCCCCAGAGGCTGGCGGCGCTGCCGTGTCCCTGAGGCTTTGCCTGAAAGTGGGGAAAAAGCGGGGCTGCAGCCGAGGCAGCAGCTGGGGGCCAGCGAGGGGTGTCGCAGGTCTTGAAGAGGTGCCCGTGGGACCAGAGACCACACTCTTCAACGAGGCCCCAGCCAGTACCCAGTCCAGTCCTTCAGACACTGCCCTCACCCCTCCTGTTCTAAAAGCCTCTGGCGTGTTTCCATTACAATTTCCTCCATTATTTCTGGCTTTGTGATGTCTTTGATCTGAAAAAGGCAAAAGGCATTTGTTCAGAAAAAGAAACACCATAAATGGACCCTCAAAGTCAAGCCAAATGTAGAAACCAAGCGCGGTTAACGTAAGCCAGCCTTCCGTTGACCAGAGGCCAAGTGCTGCAATACACGGTCGGTGAGGACCAGCTGGATAAGTCAGCAAAAGTCCTGACAGAGCCGACGAGAGCACCGAGCATTAGAAAGACAACTGAAATTTGGTGGGGCAGGTGAAGCGAGAGAGCTGCTGTGATAAGACAGTCCTACTGGCACCCCCACCCCACAAAATCGTTCACTTGGCACTGGACGCTGAAACAATCACCAGCTTATGGGCAAGGCCTGCCACCGTGTCCGCTCCTGTCAGTGGGCATGGGAGAGGGTGCGGGAGATGAGCGGCTACCGCCAAGGGGACAGCGGGGCAGATGGAGGCTGCACCTGCTCACAGAGCTGGAGCCGGGGAACCCTGGACAGGTACCTGGTGAGGAAGGGAGGCTTCGTAGCAATACAGGATACTGGTGTCATACAGCATCATCCTCTGTGCAACCAGCGAGACGATGCAGTTCCGGAGCCGCGAGATCACCTCTCGGTCGGCCAAGGAGACAGGCTACCAGGGGACACAAGAGCCAGGATCAAAATGAGTGAGCGGTCACCGCAGCCCCGGGAATCACAACCAGACTGCAAGCCCATTGGACAGCAACCCCGAGGGAGGCTGTTGCGACAGCTCCCTCAGTGGTACTTCGGCAGTGAGCTGGCATCTCTGCCCACAAAGACCAAACCGCTGGCTGATTTCCTCTCTTCGGAAAGAGAGGCCACAGCCAATGTTACGAACACGGAGTGACAGAATTAAATGAACTCAGAGCACAGCACGAACAGCTAAAAAGCACCCGCTCCACCGGCCCGACAGCAGCAGCGGCGTCTACGCACCTCCAGGTTGGCGACAAAGCCCCCCGCATCCTCTTCTTTGTGCTCAGGTGTAGGGTAGATCCAGATGAAGCCGTTGTTACCCAGGATCACTGAGGCACCACAAGGCAAGTCGTGGAAGTGAGTCTTCTGCCGTTTCACCAGGGAGGGAGAAACCTGGACCAGAACACCCTGGCCGAGCTAAAGAAATACATCGGAAGTGAAGGCGCTGACGTCAGTGAAGTGCGCGAAAAGCAAGTCACAGAACACACGTCCCAGTTCCGTCTTATCAACAGCTGCTTCACCACGACGCGCACACAGTGACTGGAGAACATGTGTGGACGACGCGTTCTCATACATCAACGAGAGATGACGTCCGGTACCCTCCGCGGTCACTGTCACAGGGGCTGGGGAGCTGGCTGTCAGGGAAGCAGCAGTCGGTGGGGATGGGGCCTGAGCTGCCTGAAGGCCCAGCCGTGCTGTCCTCATCCAACACCCTAGCTTGAACCCTTAACTCCACACCACCAACCCTGCCACGAGATGTGCACCACTAGGCAAGGGGACTGGCCAAGGGCTGGGTGAAAATCCACCCGTGGGCTTGGCAGGACAGCGCAGAGTCCAGCCCACGGAGGGCAGACGCAGTACCGTGAAGGTCTGCACCCGGCTCCGCCGCCCTAAGGGGTGAGTGTGGTTGGCACAGCCACACCATTAAGAGAAGCAGCTTTTGTTCCCCTCCGCCTGGACAGAGCCCAGAGGCTAAGAAATCAAAACACATTTTAAGGAGTCTGCTGCCACGAAGAAACATGCAGCCTCGACAGGAGAGCGGTGCCGTGTCACTCAGGAGCCAGTCCGGGTGGAGACCACCGTTTCATCAGTCCTCGACCTGCCTTGGTTTCAGTGCCAAGCTGCAGTGTCCTGTGGGAGGCAGCGGAGACAGCAGGGCCTCGGCGCCCATGGTCCCAGGGGCTCTGCTGCCAGAACCACCTCCTCCGTGGGACAGAGGTTGTCGTCTGAACTCAAGACTGTCAAGCCATCAGTCCGGGGTCACCTAACTTTGGGGGATCTCCTAGCCAGATGCCAGAGAACTCTGGGGATTCCGCCACGGGGATTCCGCAAACCATCGGGGAGTCAGAGTCCAACTTACTTTTCCATACTTGAGACTCCTCGTGTGCAGGGAGACCGCCCCATCCGAGAACACGGCCTGGACCTCGGCCTGGCCGGGGTGATGAAGGAACAAACACTTCAGGTCTGCCTCCCTGCCCCCTCCATTTTCTCTCCTCCTGTCCCACCACGGTGCCTGGCAGCCTCAGACGGGCCTGGAGGACATCACTGCACCCATCCTCCCCCCGGGGTGGCCATAAACGTTCCAACAGGAACGGCGCCTCATCTACTCCAGGGGATACCGGTGACCATGGCGAAGAAAATGTGAGTCTTTGTAGAAAAAAAAAAAAATCGCTGTTTTAAAAATTACCATTAATTCCGGTGTTCAAGGTAGGTACTTTCTGAGACTTCCACCAGTCTGAGCACACATACTGTTTTTGAAAAGTGTACTTCATGAATATAAGCATTTCAAAATGATTGTTAAAGGTATTTGTCAACAGCGCTAGTGGCTGCCCTTGATTTCAACGTCAATTAGCGCAGCATCTCTGTAGGAACGAGGCTGTTTCCCTGCTTAGTGGAAACAAAGGTTCCGGAGAAAACCGAGTCTGGCTGAGAGCACAGAGAACAGACCCGGAGGGCCGGCGGCACGGGGCTGCGCACAGCGGTGTCCCTGGCCAAGCAGCTGGGGAGAGGCAGCAGCAGAGCCTGCCAGGGCGCCACTTGTCCACTCACGCCCCATTTTCCCAGCACCCCAGTTTCCCAGCCCACACGAATGCAAGTGCAGGATACACTGATGAGGTCCCCTTCCTGCAAGAAGCCCCTCATGGCCAGCTCGTCCTCCGCGGATCTTCTCCTCTGCAATGCACAAAGGTCACATGACTGCAGCAGACCTAGGAAGACCCTGCCGGTCTCTCCACCAGCTCCCGCATCCTCCCGCGCAGAGGCCGGCGGGCAGCCTAACAAGAGAGTAGGTAACCTGCACGGGTGAAACCAGTATCCACCTTGCGGGCCTTGCCAAGGCGCCTCTTCTCCTTCCTCTGCCTCCCTCCTGAGCAACAGTCAGGCTCCTGCCGTGATATTCAAACCCCTCGCCCTGTCTGGCCCAGCAGCGACTTCTCCACACACCCCTTCTTTGCAGCCCTCCATGCTCTGGAAGGGGCAGACCGCCCTTAGGGCGACTGTCTCTCTGCTCACGTGTTTCCCTTTTCTCACCTCGGACACTCAGCCCCCGGCCCAGGACAGCACCGGCGCCCATCTTTCCAATGAGCTCCTCCCACCGAAACAACCCCTTCTTTTCTACGACACACACTTGTTTATTCTTCTACAGCCAGGAATTTGGGTCCGTTTTCCCACCTCCCCTGCTGGTCAGTGAGCCCTTCCAAGGACTCATCAGGCCTCTTTAACTGTGCATTCTCCATGGACCCGTGCACAGCAAGTGCTCTGTATGTGCACCAAGTTGAAGATGAGCCAGGATGTCGTACACAGAGCTGCAGCTTAGGCCATGCCAGTGTCTGGAGTAATCAATCCCATTCAGTTCTCTACACGCACCTAAACACAGCCTGTCTGAGAATACCCGCTGTGCAAAGCCAACGCACTCAGGAGAGGACAAGGCTAGCTACAAGCATCTGAGAGCTCCCCTCCCCTACTCTCTTGGGCTCCCTCCCCAAGGATGTTTCAGTCTACCATACGTCAAATGTTGCCATGTTGGGAGGCCTGGGTCAAGTGAAAGGCCTACCTATGCATCCAGCAGGCAGGCAGATGGACAGAAATACAAGGGACAAATAAAGCTGCCCGAGGGGAGCAGAGGACGCTGAGCTCTGTGAGCATGGGGGGCAACCCGGGCCATCCGGAACCCTTACCAGCTCTCCTCCGGGAAGGTTCATGGATGAGAGGAGCAACACTGAATCCAGCCTGGAGTTGGTCTCCACTTTCCACCTCTTCTGCTGAACCTACAAACAAATTCCACACCTGGACACCCACCCAAGAGCAAGAGGTCTCATCACTGAGTGAACCACAGTCCCAAATGTCCCAAGGCAACTGTTTCCATCAAAGGTCACACGAGCGCTGACTACAAGGAGGTGTGGCTGTCCCGCCCGCAGCCTGGCCAGCTCGCCTTCACCTTGTAAAACCCAACCCCACACTGTCTTTACCTCTGTGATCCTTCCCACCACAATGTCTCCTACTTCACCGTTGTATCTGGAAGGTAAGACAAAGGGTCATCCATCAGTGAAAAGACTTGATCAGAAGAGCCAGCCCCATCTGCCAGCTCAGGTGAACAAGACGAGGGCCTTGACAGGGCACTGACTTAGGGAATTCACGTGACGACGCTGTCTGGACTTATTTTCAGGAACTGGTAACCGCAAACATTCCCACATGAGCACCGTCTCCACCGACAACTCTTAGACAACCATTTATCCCAGTAGTTCGCTGGGCCCGAAACCCCTATTTTGTTAACTACATGACAGTGGCAGGTATGGAGTTATTTTTGGGTGGGCTCTGGAACACAGATAATTCTGTGTCAGCCAAAGGAGGAGGGAGACCGAGACAAGGCTCCGGCCAAAAGGGTGTCTTCACTTTCCCCTCCACACACACCTGCCTGCCCGGGTGCTATCTGCTGAGTTGGCCCCTCCACTAGCTCCTCATCCCGTGCTGGCGGCGAGGTGTGCCAGGCGAAGGCTCAGTCCTTGCATCACTTCTCCGTTCCCCCCACAATAACTTCCTGGTGAGCTCATCCAACCAAATGGCTTCAAATCCCACTGGTGACTGGACCACTCTCCTGAATGCCAGACTCCAGCAGCTGCCGGCTACCCAACATGTGACTAGCAGGCATCTTCAAGCAAAACAGACCTAAAACACTCTCTCTTTCTCTCTCAAAATCCCAAGTAACACAAAATCCAACACCCTTTCCGTGACTGAAAAAACACTCAGAACATAAAACACATACAAAATTAACCACTTCTTTCCACTTCTACTGCCTCCCTGAGTCCAAACCACCATCACTTCATATGAAGAGAACAGTCTCAAGTCTGTCTTCCTAAGCCTGTCCGGTCCCCCTTCACTCTCCCCACGGCCACCAGAATGACTCCATTAAAACCTAGTTAGATCATGCCCACACCCTCTCCCCGGCCAATGGCTTCCTAGATTACACAAAGTAGAAGGCAAAGCACTACAGGACAGCCCCACTGTCTGCCCATCAGGTCTGCCAGCATCTGCACCTGCTTTTTCCCCTGCTCACTGTTGCAACCACACTTGCTTCCTGTTGGTGGTGAACCTTTATGGAGCCCTTCTGAATTATTATTATTACTTTTTTAATATTTGTTCTCTATTTTTTAAAAAGGTTTTATTTATTTTTCAATACAAGAACTGGGGTGCAGGCCAGAGTTGCAGGGGGTGAGAGGATCCACCAGAGACAGAGTAGGGAGCGGAACAGCAGATCCACTCAAATACACTGCTGATGGGAGCAGCGGGAGACAGGAAAGGTCTGCTGTGCCATGTGGGCTGGCTCCCTGGCTGGGGATCGAACTCAGGCCGTGGTGGTGGGCGGTCACAGTAGTAGCGCTGAGACTTAACCCCTAGGCCACAGGGAGGCCTGAGTCCTTCTGAATGCTAATGAAAATCTTACAAGGCAGGCTGTGCTATTTATTATCCTCATTTTGCCGAGGAGGCATCCACGGTCTGGGGGGCCAGGTAAGATGGGGAAATCTTTGAAGCCTGCACTCATCTATTCGCCTTTATCCCCTTCCTATAGTCCCGCTCAAAACCACACACCTACATGACAGGGCAGGCTGGGGTGAGGGTGGGAAGTGCGGGGAGGCAGAAAAGACCTAGTTGTGCAGCATGGACGCCGCAAGGAGAATACACACCTTGTGTTCTCACCTGGTTTTCAAAGCTTTCACACAGATCAACTTGTTTACTCTCTCCACAGAACCTGCCACAGATGCGATGAGCTTCTCCTCCCCCATGTAAGTCCCATGGCCCCTGTTGCAAGAGAAAGACATTGAGGTGACACTTGAAATATGACCTCTCCCATCAAGGATGATGTGCTCCTCAACCTAACAGGCTCCTCCTGCCTCGGAGAGCCTGGCGTTTTGCTGCTCCCCCACCTACAGCCACTCCTCCTTTAGAGAGCGACACGGATGACTCCCTCATCTTACTCAAAGGTCATTCACTCCATCAGGCCTACATGACTATCCCACTGAAAATAGTCGCCCACCCCACCGTATCACCAACCACATTCTACTTTCCCTGTGGAGTTTTTCATCCCTTTCACTGCATTCATCTCAGTAATTATTGTTTACCTGTCTCTCCCTCTTAGAACATAAACTCCACCAAGATTTCCACTCTGTTCACTGTTGTGTACTCCAACCACGTTGAATGTGTAAATGAAGAACTGAATCTTAAGATTTCCAAGGTTCCAGTAACCTCAAACTAAAGGAGTTAAAGTCCAGTGTGTAACTGTATCTCCTATATGTACAGATGTACCCAAAAAAAAAAAAAGAAAAAAAGCTAAAACACCACCGGTGTTTATTTCTGAGAGAGCTAGAATAGTGAGGTTTGCTTCTCTTCTTAATGATTTAATGATCTCTTCTTAATGATTGCCAAAATATCATCTCATCTTCACTACCCTAGCAAATAGTTACCATTATCGTTATTGTACACAGGAGGAAACTGACGGCTAATAACAGGTGATGGCATCAAGACCAGTACCCCAATTGTCTGACTCAAGAGCCTAGAGTCTTAACTACAGCTGGGGCGTGTACTGCCCTCAGAATTAAAGTTGGATAGTTGGGTGTGCACATAATATAATATTTGTCCTGAGTCCAATCAAGTCCAGACTGGCCCAAAAGAGGAGCACTGAGCTAGGAGATGAGGCTGAGGGTGGAGGGACCATGCCAGGAACGCCCGCAGTCCCCCACATAGCTGAAAGCTACCGAGTGGCCCATGTTCTTAACCCTCGTCAGCGTTCCAGGGCTCCAACGAGTAAGACTCACGAGACGGGGTCCCGGGGAGAGGAACAAGATTCACGGCCAGCAGAGGTGGGGCGAGTGGAGGTTGGGGGGCCGAGACAAACGCCGACAGGGCCATACAAGGTGCAGAGAGTAAGAAGCCCGAGGCCTCGTTAACGAAGGGGCGGGGATGCTCAGGAGACCAGCCTGAGACCGGCCAGAGGCCCGGGTTTCCGCCCGCAGGCCACGTGCAGGGAGTCCTGCAGCCGCCCCCTGCTGCCCGCGCCCCCAAACCTTACGTACCGCATGAAGCCTGTGTCCGTGGTGATGGTGTCCCCCGGGACAACCAGATGTTTCTTAGTGTCGGCGCCCAGGCTTTCGCTAAGCGGCTTTCGAGCGACGGGCAGCCTCATCTCCATCGCCATCTTGGCGCCAATGCCTTGCGCAGGCGCAGTTCGCCAGGAACCGCGACTTCCGGCTACGCAGTTTCCCGGGCGCGGCCCAGAGGGGCGGGGCGGGGCGGGGACTGAGAGCAGCAGCCAATGGGAGCTCAGCGTCTGGCAGCCATGTTGCCTGTTGGCAACCGTGAGGTTCACTGGGAGGGAAGGAGGGAGCTCAGTTGTCATGTTTACTATTGGCAGGGCTACACCTGTGGAATATTAAAATCCCAAATTGTGTGGCTTATGACTTTTTACCTAATCTGCTTCAGACTCACCTTAGGCTGGTATTTTGTTATACTGTCGTAAATAGGAGTTTGTTTCTCACAGTTCTGAGACTGGGAATCCGAGGTCAAGGCGGGCGCGGATGCAGCCTCCGGGGAAGCTTCCCGGTGTCCCCCGAGACCACGGGGTGGGGGGTCTCTTCTCAAGGACCCTGATCCCATCCGTGGAGCCTCCACCCGCTCCACCTGGGCGCCTCCCAGAGTCCCCGCCCCCAGTATCCTCAGGATTCCAACATATGAACTGAGGGGGAGTCAAAGATTCAGTCCATCACAGAGACCGATTTATAGAGGGAACTGAGGCCCCAAAAGGACTAGAATTCACGTGGCAGTTGGTGGCCGGGCGGATGTTCCTGCCACCACACCTGCTTTGCCCCGGAGCCAGCGCGGATCCAGCGCTCTTTGCCGGTGAGGGCCTGGCACTTGGCTGAGTGCTTCACAATTGCCGCGTGGCTTGGTTCTCACATGCCGCCAACCAGGGCCAGCCTGGATCTCCTGCCGGCCGCCGGGAGCCACCAGTCCCAAACAGACCCACAGCTGGGACAAGACCCCAGGCTCCAGGCCCCCCCATGCCTCCCACCCCGCATCATCCCTGCCTCTTCTCACCACAGAGAAGTGGGTCCCTGGAAACAGTGTACACCCCAGGAGACTCCTGAGCCCAGATTGAGGTGTCAGGGTTGGGGGGGGGCCTAGAAACTGAGAGTGTGTATTTTAACTCCCTGTGTGATTTTAATGACATTCATGGCTCCCCCCATCCATCTACTTCCTGCCTGTGCACCTTCAGAGCTAACTCCCTAATCAATCACCAGCATCTCTCCGCCAGGTGTCACCTCGTAGCTTGTTTTCCTCATTCCACCATCCAGTCCCCATGCAGCAGCCAGAGGGAGCTCTTAAAAACAGATCAGACCCAACCACTTCCCTGCTTAGGACTTTCTAGGGGCTTCCCATCACACTAAAAATGGCAACCATGCTGGTTGCCATCTCAGGACTGGCCTGTTTTGCATAGGGAATGATCTTCCCCCAGGTCTTTGTGTGGCTGCCTCCTTCTCCTTACTCAGCTCTTCCCTCACATACCCAGCAGGAAAGGAGTCTAGAATAACCCTCTGTCCCTTTCCTTTATCTCTGATCCCATTTTATTTGTTGTCAGTGGATTTTCTTCTTTATTTGCTTGTTCATTGCAACCTCCCCCTGCTAACACCTGGAGTGCACCAACAAAGAGACATATCTGTTTCTTCAGTGCTGGAAACTGTTTGGCACAAAGAGGACAGCCAGGAAACAGTGTTACAGAAGATGTATTTAGAAACATCTATATCTCTGTGTTTGTCCTCTGTGACCCCCACAAGCTATGAGCCCTGTGTGTGCCCAGTTTGTCTACCTTGTTTGCTGCCCAGTTCCTAGTTGCTTCATTTTTAGCAGGGCCTGCTAATAACAAGGTCTTTTATTTTCTGGATTCTGATGCTTTGGCATCTTGGAGTGGTGCTGACACTGGCAGGAAGGCCCCTCCCAGGGTGATCCAATCGGTAGAGACAATCAATCACTGGCCTGGGAGGTGCCTTGGAAATGCAAACCACACTCCCAACCCCTCGTCTGGGCTCTGACACTCTAGGGTCACCAGCCACCTGCCCAGAGGTCACCGCTGATTGCCAGGGCAGCTCCGTGACAGCTACGGCAGCCTCTATGCCTCAGCGCCCCTGAGAGGGTTCAAACCAGCCCACCCCTTCTGTCTCAGGGAGGCCATTATAAAGGGTCTCTCCCACACTTGCTCATTGCTCCTGTGCCTCCTGCCAGCCTTAGGGCTTCCCTGCTCAGCCCCACCTGGTGAGCCCTGAGTCTAGAGCTCAGGGCTCTAGGGCAGTGTGAGTGTAAGACACGGTGTAAGACTCTGGGTCATCTGGGGTCCACCCCCACCCTCCTACCCTTTCCTGTAGCTTTTGTCCTCACACCATTTGAAGTAGAGGAACAGATATCCTAAGCTTTCCTGCCTCAGTGTTGGCCTGCAGGGATGTGTTTGGGGGGTGGGGGAGGAGATTTCAGATGGTGGCTGCTTAGTGCCCAGGATCTCCATGCCAGTCGCTTCCATGTTTGTGTGTCTTACTTCACTGGATTAAAACAAATCCCAGTTCCTTGGAAGTGCTCTTGGCATCACTTAACGACGGGAGGATCCGTTGAGGGAAACTTGTCATGAGGTGGCTTTGTCATTGTGCAAACATCAGTGTACACATGTGACCCGGGTGGAGGCTGCAACACAGTTCCACGCTACAGGGGGCCACTGTCAAATGTGTGACCTGTTGTTGACTGAAATGCGGTGTTGATGTGCATGACTGTAAACATCTGCAAGTGCACCAGTAAGCTTACTCGACGCACACTTGCTGGGCATCCACTGTGTGCACTGGAGTTATGGCGCTGGGCCATGTGCTGCTCCAGTTATCAAGGTGCTCTGACAGGAGCTCAGAGTGGGGTGGACAGGGTGGGTGGGCTGGTGGGGGGCAGACAGGTCAACCTGACAGAAGAGGCACTTGAGTGAACCTTGAAATGAAGGAACTGAGAAGGGTTGAGGAGTGCAGGTGAACTCCAGGCAAGAGTAAACAACCAGGGAATCGTGACGACTGTGAAAGCAGAGGCAGTGGGGACTCTCTGGGCTGAACTCTTGCCCAGTCCTTATCTACCCACTGCCTTCACTTCATGTTCCATTAAGAAGGGAAGACAGGGCCTCCCTGGTGGCACAAGGTGTTAAGACACAACCTATGAAGCTATTCTCAGCCACTGCAGCACAAGTTCCATCCCCAACCAGGGAACTACCCACATGGCACAGCAGACCTCTCCTGACTCTCCCGCCACTCCCTTCAGTAGTGTATTTCCGTCAGTCTACCTGTTCTGTTCCCCACTCTGTCTCTGGTGAATCCTCTCACCCCCCCACACCTCTGGCCTGCACCCCAGTTCTTGTATGCATAAATAAATAAATCTTTAAAAAAATGAAGGGAAGATGCTCTGGAAATTTCTAATTTCTCTTGTGTACGAAGAGTTATGCACAGCCTCTCCTAGAGACATGAGAAATAGCCATTGTGTCTATGGCAGTTTTGAAGCACATCCATGAATTGTGTGATATTCCTTCAATGAAGAAGTGGCATCTGGGCCTCCTCCCCTTCTCCCTGGGCAGGCTTGTGACTATGCAACAGCTTGTGTCAGAGGTGCCTCTCTGGGTCTCCACAGCCAGGTCATAATAGCCCATGTGGCTTCCACCTGGTTCTCTTGGAACCCTGGCCTTTGAAGCGCTAGCTGACCTATAAGGAGGCTGACTGCCCTAAGGTAGCCATCTTGTGAGGAAGCAGACAGCAGCCACCATTTGTAACTTTCCCCTCCACCAGCAGACGCTCACCCGAGCAGGCCAGCTCCAAGGCAGGAAGGAAGTTGAAAATGTAGGATATCTGTTCCTCCACTTCCAGAGATCTGAGGACAACGGCTGTAGATAGAGAGGAGCAGGACAGTTGCCTCAAGTGCCCTCTGGGAGGAGTAGCTACCCCTCTTCTCACCCACCAAAGGCATCCTCATATTAACATCAGTGTCCATTTATGGAGCACTCACCACGTGCCAGCTACCAGCTTCATCTTCTACACACAGACACACATATATATACATATACGGATAAATACATGTATGCATATATATGTTATCCCACTTAATCCTCACAGCATTCTTAGGAGCTAAGTATCCTCTATTCCATTTCCAGATGAAGAACATGAGCACAGGGATGTTCAATGATTTGCCTAAGGTCACACAGCTAGTGAAAAGCAGAGCAGGGTTTCGACCCAGACCAGGTGGCCTCTATCTAGAATCCTCTAGAACTGGAGGTCCTGAACCATGCAATATGGTAAGAAAAAGAAATAAAAGGCATTTTGATCAGAAACTTAGAAGTAAAACTGCCTTTATCCAGAGCTGCCCCAATCATGTGTCTATAGAAAGTCTTCAGTGAGGAATCTACAAAGAAAGCAGCCAGAACGAATAAGTGAGGCTCACAAGGTTGAAGGCTACAAGGTCAGTATAAAGGGCTGAGCAACTCTGCACCAGGTGCAGAAAGCACTTGGGACTGAACTGCAGGCTGGCCGGGAGGCGGTGTGGCCCACTGGTCACAAACATGGCTCTGAGGTCAGACATCATGGCGACTCTCCACTCTGTCGCACTGTAGCTGAGTGACCTGGGCAAAGGCTTACTTGAGCCCTCGGTTTTCCATTCTTCAAGTGGACATTAAAAGAGCCTGGTGGGGGGAAAGAGAAAAAAGATATCTGCCTCATGGGGTTGGAGGGAGGACTTCTAGAATGCACACATTCAAATCCCTGGACTGCCCATAAAGGGGCCGGAGGCCTCTGCTGGAGAAGCAGACAAGGTAAGAAATCTGCAGAAAAAAAAAAGAGAAAAAAAAAAAAGAAATCTGCAGAAGTTTGCAAATTCTTCAGGAGCATCCCTCTCCGCTCCTCCGCGTATGCGCAGTGCCAGCACCTACCTGTCAAGCGAGGTCCTTCATTTGCAGTTACAGCTGCTGCCGCCAGGTGGGTTCTAGAGCCCGGTTGTGGGCCCTGTGGGCCGGCGGCTGGCACTTGAGCAGAATTACCTGTAGAGCGTCTTTTAGATTTTTGATCAAGAGCCCTGATCTCTCTCTCTGACGTCTGACTCCTGCTGGCCCTGCTTCAGGAAGCCAGTAAGACTCTGAGGGCGTTTAGTTCTCCGTCACCCTC